ATGTTAAAATATTCTGCCACTAATTTAATATTCTCACATTAGAAAAACAACAACAACAACAACAACAATGCTTCAACCATTTTTACAGTATTGTATTTTCGTTTGACTAAATAAAAACTTTGTGCATGGTTCTTTTTCAAGTATTACATATCGTTATTTTTTCGCCGGACAAAATTAATCACATAACTTTGATTATATCCTTTTATTGAGCACATTTTATTGAAGTAAATATTGGTGACTTAAAGGGCACTTAATATAAACTTATAAAATCAAACTGAAAATACTGTTAAATATGCTGCAGATTGATAGCAGGTTTAAAAACTCACGATTGAGATAACTGTTATCGTTCAAAGTATTAAAACTTCCTCTTTTGATATTTTGCGAGTCTCATGTTTTATTTTACGATATTAATGTTGGATAATCATGAAGGATTCTGTTTTCTTGGTATTTATCGTTTTGATGAAAGCTTTGGTTTCCTTTACAGAAGGTAAATATTTTTTTTTATATTAAACGAGTTTATTTGTCTTGAATCTTTAAATAATAGTTTCCTTTACAGAAGGTAAATATTTTTTTATATAAAACAAGTTTATTTGTCTTGAATTTTTAAATAATATTTAATTTATAAGGATGCTGCCTTATAGTTGATAAATTGGAACCATTAAATATTTTAATATTTCGTGTACGCGTGACATACAATTGCACCGTTGTGAGACAGAGTAGTCTATAAATTAATTTAAGTGACTTTAGTTAAGACGAAGATTAAAAATAGTAATGGTTGTGGTTTTTTTCTTAAGACAAATTAATTAAATATACATGTATATGATTTTGATGGATCATAAACTTTTTTTGTTTAAAAATGGAAAGTTTTAAATATTTCTTTGAAATGAAAATAAGATATAATGCATTTAAATCTAACATTTTTACATTCAACACCCTGATGTGCCCTTTCATTGTAAATAATGTAAAATATTACAGTTTATCTGTAATATTCTGAAATATATGATTTCATTTGCAAACTGAAAAATAACCCAGATGATGCATCCTCTGTTATTTTCTGCAACATGGAACTTTTGACTTGGCAAAAGGCAGTTGAAAATTGTAAAAGTAAAGGTGGTTATATGCTTCCATTTGACTGGTTTAGGGCAAAATATAGACAGACTCAATATACAGAGTGATGCAGACATATGGACAGCCGATCATTTAACATTGAACGGTAAGTGTTCCAGTAACAATATGTTATTGTTATTGTATGTTATACTTTTTCGACAAAAATCATTTTTGATAATGATTTTTCAATTCAATAAGTCAATCAATGAATAATCTCTGTCATTTCTTCTATAGTTCCGGTTCAACAATAATTAAGGTTAACAATTTTGAACATAGTCATTTTTGTATACTTTGTAATATCTGTATTTTACTACTTTTAAAATTGACTCTTACTTTTATTTTGTTTTGATAATTAAGGTTAAAATTACTGTATTGGAAACATAAATATTTCACTAAACATACTAACAAATATGTTTGTTGTGTTGCTTATTCAAATTCATTTTGAAAATCTCTGTTCCTTTTGGTACCATGATAAACATGTCACATAACATGCATGTTAATGGTTCGGCCGTGGGTATCCGACGATGCTAAAAAGGTAACTCCAAATTAGCTGATAGGTTTGTCCTGAAATTGGACCAAAGATCTTGGCCATGAACAATTTAAATCTTTACATTTGGTTGTGGTTGTCGTATCGAGTCAATCAAATGATTTGGGTCAAGTTTGAAAACAAAGTGTAGCAGGCACAGCCTAATTATATTGGGAAGCATTTTTTCCCAAAAAGGGTTTTCACAGTCACAAATCCAGGTTTCGTGAAAAGGAGATCTTTCGCCGTCTCAAATGTCAAATGCTTTGGCAAAAATTCTTTGCTTATCGTGGTTGAAAACTGTTGATTAGTAACCATCTTCAAAATACCGGTGTTTCACAGCCCAATAGAGATTAATTTTTAAGACTTTTTAAGTCAAGTTTTATCATCTTTTTAATTAAGTTTTCGGTATCATGTGAATATTTTTATTGCATTCTACATAAATTTACTTAAATTGTTTTAACCCTAAAATGCAAGTCAGAAAATATCATTTTCATAAGTTTTAGTTATGAACCTGTGATATTATTGTTATTTGCATTTTTTTCGATCTCGTCATTTATCATTAATGTATCTTTATTCATCTTGTGAATTCAATAATTAGTTCTTAGCCTGGTTACTTTTTATATATGATGCACTTTGATAGACCAAATTCTTTCTAACGAGATAAGTTTAGCCTCTTTTTCATTTCTCCGAGTACAATTTATTCATATAAAATCACTATTGTACCGTCATTTTATTGTCAAAAATCCACATCAAACACGTACAATGCTAGAAAGTACAAAATGTTGTAAAATAAACAGGTCATTTTACACAACTGCAATATTAATTCGATTGAACTCTTACACACATGTGAAACCCATATTAGACTCTACAAGCGCCCCATCCAATATAAGTTAAACAGCAGATGTATACTCGTCAAATGTACTTTACACTAATAAATAGAGGATATTTGTTTGTTTGTGTGTAAGATGAAATTTTATTTCATCGAGTGGGCTTTAAAAACAGTATTCTCACGAGTGGCGTAGCCACGAGTGAGAATACTGTTTTTAAAGTTCACGAGATGAAATAAAATTACATCTTACACAACAAACAGACAAATTTTCTTTTTATTTTATGCTTTAAAACAAGTTAAAACGAAATTTCCATAATTTTAACGTAAATATTAAAATCTGTTTCCCCCATTGAGAGCCCCATTTAGAGGGAATTTCTCATTAAAAACAAGAAGTCTTGAGCTGAGAAATTAGTCCGCCAATCAAGGTTAAATGACGGTGATATTTATTCATTTTATTAAAAAAATATGAATGATCGCTTGTTTTAATAATAAAAACAAACAATTCTTGTAGGAGAAAAAGTCCAACCATCCATCCATATTTCTGTTACTTACTGCGAATTTATATTAGACCTGGCTTTGTAAAATGTAAGCGGCAGCCATTTTTTAAAGTTGTGTATTTCATGGGAGGAAAATAATTGTGTAAGATTCAGAAGGATAAACTTTGGATTTGTTAGTCATACACCTTTTTAAAAGAAAGAAAACTTATTTGAGGATTGTAACAGACAAAAAATAAGTGTTGACAGAAGTGAAAACATTCAGAAAAGGAGCTAGGAAAATGGAAAACCTGGAAGCTTGCTAAGGCATTGTAAGGAACGCTGGGTTATTTAACTTATTTTACGAGTGATGGCTGTCAATGCTTTTCAATTTTTCATAATGCATACGGCAGTTATTGCTCGTAGGATACTTTAATATGCCCAAATGTCATCAAGAGCAGTTTAGCATGGGGAAGGAATGTATTTTTCAGACTGTAAAAACGAAACAAAAAAATTTAGAGACGAAATTTTGTGATTGGAATTTGAAGGAATATAGAAGTAAGTTTTATCTCTTTATTACTTTTGACATTTAAGTTATTTATCTATTTCAGCTGTGCTATTTTTTTAACAGCCTGATATTGTCAGTAAAAATAAAATTGAGGTACCACATGGGGAAAATCTTAAAAAAGTAGTTTTGTCATTGAAAAAAGTGAAATTATATTTTGATAATTTTCACTGTGAAATTATCAAATATAATTTTCACGGATAAATCAGTAATCCACTGAAAAGCATAAAATAAAGTATAATATTCTCGAAATAGAGCATAGTTTCATTTTATAGTATGATAATGACTGTACCATTATAATGCTGTGGATGTCAAATTTTTTATTATCATATTATCTAAATATGAACACACAAGACAAGTCATTGATTTCTATTATCGAACTTAATTTTATACGTTATTTTTATTTTCAGGAAGTGACATGTATTGTGGATTTAACTACCTCAATAGCACATTTTATGAAATCAGAGAACTGCTTTATGGAGATTGTTACGATAACAGAAACTATGTTTGCAAAACTGAAAATGGTACTAGTTATGTTTGGTATATTTGATTGCATCACTATACGGTCACTTTGCGAAAATGCTTGATGTAAAATGTTGAAACTGACTGGAAATATTAAACCAAGAAAATACAAGTTAATGTATTTTTAATGTCAATTTCTTTTTTTATACAGTGTTTTCATGAAATTATAATATAACAAGCACAATTTAGATTATTTCTTTACAAAATGTTTGCGTAGCATATTATTTAGCATATTTTCCTGATATACTTACATGTAACAGGGATGTTAAGTGTCTTCAACAGTACTCGAGCAAAAATCCTCTGTAACTATAACATTACGTTAAATGACTCATCAAGAATTAAACCAGGATACTATTGGAATACTTGGAAAGTGTATGGGGCAGGTAAAACTTGTATCATTTTGATATGGTTATAATTAGAAAAAAATAAGGCCAAAACACGGAAACATTGTTTCGAACATTTTGAAAAATTAAGTTTAATTATTTTTGTAAATGACTCAAACATAGCTAGAATTGATTGTGTAAAAAAGTGAATAATCAGTGCACATCATTATTTAACGTTAAGTATCAAATACAGCAACATGTTTATAGCTGCTAGGCTTATCGTGTTATATATAATATAACAGTAAATAATTATCATAACAAGGCTGTGTTTCAGTTACGTAATTTAATTATACCTCTACCGTTTTGTAAAGGTTAGGCGTTTAAACTTGACAGCATATAAATAACTCAAAAGTGGATTCTTGATCGAAATAGTTTATAAAACATGTCGGTAGCTTTTAGCATATACAATTATTATCATGCAGCTTATATTTGTACTTTTGCAGCTCGTACAATGGTGGACAATTTTAACCGTAAGTAGCAAAGTCAGAGTACCATTTTGAAATAACTTGTTTTTTCTACACACATCTTTTAGCTTCAGTTTTATGTAAACAAAAGTTCATAGGATAACAAAGTCTTTGTGTTCGCATCTATAGGATCAAATTTGTTGATAATAAGTCACAAAACAAGAATAAATTATTAAGGCTGAAAACTTTCTCTGAGTATAAAACCATTTGTCATCAAAAATCACAATAAGTAACCAATGATTCGATTTTTAAATATATGACTAAAGTTTTGTTAAAATAAAACGAGAGTTTAAGAATATATATTGCGTTCCCAAAATGAGAAACAAAAATCATTTTGAAATATTTTCACAATGTTTTCGATTTTCTCTGATTAACATCTTTTTACAAGATAAGCCCAGATAAATTAATTTTCCAGTTCAAGACATATTATGCGGCGGCTATAAAAGTTCAATTGGAAGGTATTATGCAAATTGTACGGAAAAACGTTACTCGTTATGTACCAAAAATTTAGGTTTGTAAATTATTGAGAATTTGAAACTAAGACAAGTTTTATATATTCATTACCTCAAAATATTACAGCTCTGTCCGAAATTTCAATACAAGTGCACAGAACATGCTTGGCTCCTTGCAGGTGGTCATGTGTTGTTGGTTATTATTTTTTGGTGCACTCATTTAATGTCGCCTTTTTTATCTTTATTTTCATATACATGCTTCTAACTTATGATAAAGATACGAAATATGTACAAACAATATAATGTTGTGCGATCATATATCATAAGTTGTCGGGAGTTTAAAGGTTAATAGAAGCAATACAGTGAAGTATTTTCATTTAATGTTGAAACTTGAAGCAATAAAAAGCATTTTTAGTTGGACTTTTTAAAACAAAATTATTGTTTTATTGGTTATGTAAATCATGTTGAAAATGAAAATATGTGATATAACTTTGAGTTGAAAAACAAAATCAATTATTTTATATCGTGTTGTTACCCGCAGTTCAACCAACGGGAATAGGCCAATTAATAGCATTTGTTTTGATGGTCAGTGTTATGTGTACGTTGCCTTTGCCTTGTTGATCTCCATTCTCATATTTTCATTAAATTCAATTTTAACATACCTGATATCTTGGTTTATTTTTGAGCCCAGATCTCTACATTTAAAGTTACTGAAGGCCAACAGAATTCACGAATCACAAATGCACTATTTGTATTTGTGGACACACATTGGCACACGCGTAGAGTTAATCACCTCACATTTAGCAATGTTAGCTAAGATTTTTTATTTGCAATGTTTGCTTTTTAAAGCTTAAAACGAATAAAACAGCTAAATTGAGATACAAAAAATATTTTACGTATTTCGTATTTGGTCAATGATACTTTTTATAATACTGCCCCATCATATACATCTGAGCTTGTGAAGCAATTTTTGAGGTCGCAGAAGATTTTGTCTTGCCACACCCAACATACTCTTCAGAGTTCTTATCTGGTCGTCGATACAAATCCCGACTGACAGTTGACCCAACCATCAGTCAGTGCCTCAGAGATCTACCTTATAAGCGTACCGTAATGCCTTTTATAAATAGGTTTGGATAAATTATGTACATGTTTTTCAAACCGCGGTGTATTATTTGAAGAGATGTTATGTTAATTTGACTATTTTAGTGGAATGGTTTTGAGAAAAAGTACAGTATATCGATCATTAGTTTTCATGCATTATTATACATGTAAAATTGCATATCATATTTAATGCGTTTCCCATTACTCATGCCTGTTGCCCAAAAATGAAGTTACCAATTCACGTGTCTGCTTTAGAATATGCTGCTTTTGAATCCATTCTATATGGCAAACGACTAAAATTACTGAACATAATCAAACAGGAATCAAATCAACAATAACACCTACGACAGTTCGCCAAGAAATAACTACATACAAAACTGATACACCAACCAAACATCCAATGACAGGATTGACAACTTCAGCCGAATATAAAACTAATGTCAAGGAAAAACATACACTAGAAGACACGCAAAGTTCAGGTAACATTTAAAAATAAATACTTAAAGATAAAAATATATTGATCCCAAATTATCATTTTTAGTGTATTTTGTTATGATTACATAATTTTATTTTCTCCAAAACATGAATGTTGTGCATACGTTCATTTATATGTCAGTTATTTATATAAATATTTCAGATGTATGGATATATGTTGTCGTACCGCTTGGAGTAGTGTTATCACTGACATTTGGAATGACAGTAGTTATTTACATTTACAGGAAAAGGTAAACATTGTTGGCGCATTTTCTGCTATCATCACATTGCGTAAAATAACTATGCAAAATAATAATTTTATATTATTGTATGTGTGTAATTCATGTTTTGTATTACGGTATAATAAGTAAATTATTACACATCATTCAGCATTTTCAAGAACATGTAAAACTATGTAGACAAGTTAACAGTGTGTTTTAAGTGATTTTCCAAATATATTGTGGTATCATGTTATATCACGCCGATTACAAAATACATTTTCCTCATAAGATGATTGAACCTCACGTAAACCTAATGTTATCCTGTATAACGACAATTTTATTCGATATTTAAACCAATACTATCATTCATCAGTCTAGAAAAAAAGCTTTAAAGGAATTAATGAGTTTGTAACTATTTAATGTGTGTAGTCTTGCAAAATAAATTAAAATAGACGAATGCACTACAAATGAACGATCTAAAAAGTACATCTAAGTCATTAGAGAAATTTTCTAAGTAAATAATTTGACAGAAAGACATAATGAACTGTTTCCTCTTAGTCAACACATTGTGTAGCTACATATACTTCTGCAAGATAAAATTAATTAATAGATCCCTATTATGACCTTTTATTTTAATAACAAATGCTTTACAAATAAACATTGACTTGGTTATTTTTTTAAGAAGTAAGTGGTGGTGAAATTCTTTATTGATGCACTAATCTGATAATTTGAATGAGACAGGTAAGGGTCATATAGGGCTCTATCCAATATACAGAGCTTAACATTGATTACATTTATCAACCGTGGGTATCCGACGATGAAAAATATAGCGGCCACAAATAAAAAAGTTTAAGACGTTTTGAATCTATAAATGCATATATGTCAATTTCTGAAACGTCTAGATTATCTCACTTATCTTTACTTACTTAGCAAGTTCATAAAGTTTGTTGTGAGTTGTATTTGTGTAAGTTTGAAATTCAACCTATTTTCAACATTTTATGGGTAGGCACATAATGCCTCAGAAATGCTTTTACTTTTATTTCTCAAAAGGTTTTAATCTTGGTGTACTTTAAAGAAAGTTACTCATTGGCCAATTACAAAAATGTTTTTCATCTGTTGTTTTTATGGGAAAAAGTATAGTTATAGTGAATAAGTATTTTGTATGAAAGTCAAAATACTAAATTAATTTGTTAATATTTTGCTACATTTAAGACAAATGATGTCATATTTATTGCTACTGTCTTCAGGTAACAAATATCTAACATTCTCTAAAACTATATATATATTTAAAAACAGATATTATATAGAGGATATTTGTTTGTTTTGCATGTAAGATTGAAATATAATTTCACTGAGTGAACACCAGATGCAAATATTTTCACGAGTGGCGTAGCCACGAGTGAAAATATAATAGCTGGTGTTCACGAATGAAATATATTTCAATCTTATATGTAAAACAAATAAATTTTCTTTTTATTTCATGCTTTTTAAGTGATTTTAAGTATTTTTTACTGATTTTGCCGCGTAACGTCGCGAATTCTCCTTTGTGACGTCATCACATCATGACGTCACATCATTTATTTTGAAATATAGTTCTGTTAAATTTCTCTAATTTTGTTACATTCAAACATGATGTATGGTGACATCGGCTTTCTTTTCCTAAAGAAGCAAAATTTACGCATGACACACTTATTTCTGCCTGTTATTCCATTTAGTTATGATTTTCTTTTCATCCGCATTCAGATATAGTCCGGCTACAGTGAAAATTATATTTTATAAATTTCACTAGTGGTTTATCAGAATATAATCATCTGATATATTACAATAAAACACTGGAAAGCATGAAATAAATCCAAATATTATTACAGGTTACAGAAAAGAGAAAGACTTGATCAAACCACAAATATTTCCAACTTAACCACAGTCTCTGGACAAAATGATTATGAAACTCTAGAACATCAGCAATGTGACGAACACGAGTATAGCTCTGCAAGACAGGTTAATAAGGATTGTGTTGCAATGAATACATATGTCAATGATGTTGTTTATAGGGAGGATAAATAGATTTATTTGAAGTGTTACATACATTACTATAAGCTAATTGCAGATAATTTTTATAAGCATATTTTTATTGAATAAACATTTTGAAAATGATGTGTGGAGTACATTTTCTTATTTCACAAGAATAATGTTAAATTTTAGTTAAAGGATCGATTATTTCTCAGAAATAATTTTATTTTAAATTCCCAAAAGCTTATTATTTAAAGTGTACTTTTGTATTTTAAAAAATGTTCATTGGCCAATTATCTATACAATATGTTCCTTCTGTTGAGTTTTAGCAACTAGTACAGTTATAGTTGAATGTAAGTCAAAATACTCCTTTGTTTCATTTTGTTACCATAATGACAAATAATTAGAGCTATTTTTCTCAGGTAAAAACATCTAAAATACTCTAAAACCGTATTGTAAACGATATACCAGACGTGTTAGCCCTTTCTGAATCAGTAAATATTTTGTCGTTGCTGAGGCATAATGTGCCTTTAATAGCTTGCTTTGCCAAAAACATTACCCATTTTATTTATCTTAATTGTTTTAAACGTGTATATTTTATAAAAAAATTCTTTCGAGAATTTTGTAAATTTAAAAAATGGAAACAAAACTCAGTTAAACCAATAAACATATACCCTACACACAGATATGTGTATACATCATGAAATGACTGCCTACTTGTTTGACATGTGCTAAAAATGTTTAAAGCATTGAAAGAAAAACAACTCAATCCCCGTACAAAATGACTATGTGTTATGTACCAGCATTTTAACTTGTTTTATTATGCTAGTTGCCATGACCCCAAAACATGCTGAAAATCCATCCGCAGATGTGATCAAAACAAACAACGTAAAGAAAGAGGGTCCAATTACAATGTTCTTTTGAAACGAAACAATAAGAATATATATTAAAGAACAAATCGCTGGTGCAAAAATGACCATACCACGCAGAAGTATCCCGGACATTTTGCTTGGGTCAGGGCTTTGATCCTTAACTTGCTGATAAAACGACTCTCCAAATTAATTGAAAATAAATACCTTACGCAATCAGACAAATTGTGTTTTTACGATTTGCTCGAGAAAATGGGTAGTTTTGTTTTACGAGAAATTATACACTTTATATACACAAAGAACATATCGCTAGTAAAGAAAAGACCAAGCCACGCAAAAATCTCCGTGAAAGTTTGCTTTGGTTAGTGCTTTAGGCTCTATATTGCTGTAAAAAAGACCCCACAAACTAATGACGGAACGATTCCGCAATGGAACCAGACAAATAGTGTTTGAATGGTTGGATTGAGAAAATGATGTTTTTACTAAAATTGATACACTTTATAAACAGGAAGATCACATCGCCGGTCCAATGGTTATTTTACGATTTGCTCGAGAAAATGGTGCGTTTTTTCATGAAAATCTATACACTGTATATAAAGAGAGAGCAAAACGCTGATCAAGAAATCTTTCGGACATTTTGCATGGGTTAAGGCTTTGGGCTGTATACTGATGTAGAGTAAACCCTTCAAACTAATGAACAGACGAATCCACAATGGGATCCGATAAATGATATTTTAACGATTGGCTCGGGAAAATTGTGTGTGTTTTTTTTCGAAATGTTTTTAATGTATACAAAAATATTAACAATCACTCACGTTTGATCATAAAGGCTTCATTATGTAATTTACACGCTTCATCAATGATTCTTTTCATCTCTGCGATAAAAATAAGCAACACCAACAAATAGATACAAGAAATGATAATATCATTTATATTCTTTTATTATATTTTTTATTTTTTGATGTCATTTTACGGTTTCAAAAATGTTTCTCATAACCCAAATACATGAGTCATCCTTTGCCTTTCGGTATTTATTACAGTTACAGTAAAAGAGTTACTTAATATTTGTACGGAAGCCCAAATACCACTATGTTTACATTTTGCTGACTTTGTTATTATTAATTTTACATTATTCGTTATTTACTTATGTACTCATATAAAATGTTCTTAATCCATTATTACAATACATGTGTACCCATTCTTCATAAACAAATATATTTATTTTCTGAGGTTTAATAAATACATTTTAAATCAGTTTTATTTGGTAATTGCTTTATGTCCTCTAAGATCTTTTGAGAGTTCTCCTCTTCATTCGAAAAGTGGAGACAAGACTGCAATCAATCCTTGAATTCAGTTCCTTTTTTAAAAGATTGTAATCCTCAACGTATTTGTGCATCTTTGGACGACATGCATTAATATTGAAACCATTAGGTCTTGATTTATGAACTAATTTATTTCACAATGTCAGTATAATGTATAATTGTAGTAAGCCATGATAAAATTCGTGCTTAATCTATGTTTATCTTGCTAGGTTGCCACAAGCGCATGAGATATCTATAATTAAAAAAGTAAACCATGGATGTTTCTTACAACTGATTTGATATAACTTTGACGTAACAATGTACGTATTTGAATGTCAAAGCGACGTATGAAAATTTATAATAGAAAAAGAAGACTTTTTTTTTTATGTCAGGTTTTCAGTTGCGCATTTCCAATATTATATTCATTAAAACTGTATTACGGTAGATAAAATTTCAAGTACAAATGATTGAATTTACTTAAAAATTTGTTTCGTAAAAAGGGCTGGCAAACTTAGCAAATTTTTTTATTATTTAAATGAATATTTGTACTTATCAAGCGCTTATTTGTTTTAAAAATCAGAAGTTTTTTTATGACTTTATCTTTCAAATCTGCATTTGATTGATTATGTGACCAAGGTTACTGTTTACATAAGTAAGAATGTTGATCTAACAAGTGCACAATGAAAAGTACAATAAATGTCATAAATAAAGGATTTTTTTTTAATATGATTCATAACTCACTTAGAAGTGAGAAAATTGTAAATTAATATTTCAACGATCGCATAATTACGAGACATTAAAACCCGAACAAATGTCTTTAAATTTATACATATAGACTGGTTTAATGGCGAGTAAATCGCACGTAGTGTATTGAGTGATGAATTATAAGTGTTTTCATTAGTTAGCCTAAAACATAAGTTTATATGTTTTAACATCATTTGGCTTAAAGAATTCTAAATGAAATAATGGCATTTCAGGCTTTATTTCTCATTTTGACTTTATGCCGTGCTAGGCAACCTTATTGGTACAAGTTTAAATTTTGACCTATGAAAGTCTACATGTCCTTCGGTAACCATTGGCGTGTATCCATCTTGGCGTGTAACCTAATTAACAGTGATTGTTATCGTGTTCGCTAATGAAAAAAGTTTATTTCAGAGATAATTTGATGTTTAAATGTTCTGCCACTTATTTGATATTATCACATTAAAAAAACAATAATTATAAAACACGTTTTACAATATTTCATTTAAGTTGAATTAAATAAAAAAAACTTTGGGCATGGTACTTTAACAGGTATGTTACATTTTGTAATGTATTCGCTTGACAAAATTAATCACATAACATTGATAATACCCTGTTATCGAACATGTTTTACTGATTGCTAAAGATTGGTGACTTGGGCTCTTATGTAAACTCGTACAAATCAAACATTGAAAATACTTGTCAAGCTCAGTTTATGATACTTAGACTGATAGCCGGTTAGAGATAACGTTAACTTTATCGTTTTAACTATTCTAACTTCCTCTTGTGATATTTTTCGAGGCTCATGTTTCATTTAACGCTTTTTATATTTGATAAACATGAAGGATTCTGTTTTCTTGGTATTATTCGTTTTGATGAAAGCCTTGGTTTCCTTCACTGAAGGTAAACAAAATTTATTTTATATTAAACAAGTTTATTCGCCTTGAATTGTCAATAAATATTTATTCTATAAGGATGTTGTCTTATGGTTAACAAATTGGTACCATTAGATATTTTGATATTCCGTGTACGCGTGACATACAATTGCACAGTTTTGAGACAAAGGAGTCTTTAAAGTGAATTTAGGCTTTAGTTATAATAAGACGAAGATTTAAAGTAGAAATGGTTGCGCTTTTTTCTGAAGTAAAACAATTAACTATATATTATTTTGATGGATCATAAACTTTCTTTAAAGTTTTGTTTTAGATGAAGAGTGTTAAAATATTTCTGTGAAATGAAAATAAGATATAATGCATTTAAGTCTAACTCTTTGTTTTAAATTACCACCCTATTATGTTAGCTCTTTCATTGTCTGTATACGGTGTCAAAGGTGGTCGTATATGTAATATGATTTGAAATATATGCTTTACTTTTGCAAACTAAAAAATAACCCAGATGATGCATCCTCTGTTATTTATTGGAACACGGCACTTTTGACTTGGCAAGAAGCATTGGACAGTTGTAAAAGTAAAGGTGGTTATATGCTTCTCTCTCTATCTGAGACTGATTTAGGACAAAATATAGACAAACTCCATTTACAGAGTGAAGCAGACATATGGACAGACGATCATTTAACACTAGTGCATAACGGTAAGTGTTCCAGTAACAATATATCATTCTTAGTGTATGTTTTTTGTAAAAAAAAATCATTTTTGATAGTGATTTTGCAATTCGATATGTCAACCTAAGTATAATCTTTGTCAATTCTTCTATAGTTCCTGTTCAACATAAATTATAGTTAACAATTTTGAACATAGTCATTTTTGTATACTTTGTAACAGCTGTTTTATATTACTTTTAAAATTGACTTTTAATTTGTAATTTATTTTGGTAATTAAGGTTAACATATCTGTATTGGAAACATAGATATTTTACAAAACATATCAACAAATCTGTTTGTTATGTTGCTTATTCAATTTGATTTTGACAATCCTTGTTTCTTTTGGTATCATAGTTTAAGGTATGACCCACCTAATGCATAACCTCCACTTTGAAGAGTACTCAAATAAGCTAGAACTACTGTCAATTGCATTGAAACTGAGGGGCGCGGGTTCAAGCCCCGGAAGAGGCAACTTTTTTTTCTTTCTTTTTTCTTTCTTTGAACATTATTTGTGTCTCTCAGATCACTCTTGATAAGAAAAAGTGTTTCATTTTAATTATAAAATTATTATTGGTATTTATTGGTTAAATTGTGTCAAATTTATAATCAGATATGGTACCTTGTATTATCAAAGTCTAATAAAATAAAAGCTAGACGGTAAAAGTATTTTATATTTGACAAGCGCAACCAATATACCTTTAAAGAAATTTATGCAAACTTTGAAAACAACCCCTGATTTGAGTAAATTTTAGGGATATTTTGAATAAGGCCCTCCAAGTAGAAAAATGAACAAACAACTTCTTAAAATGGGTGGGTAGGGTATCATTTATATACATATTTCAAACATTTTGAGTAGAAACAAAAAAATTGCTAGGTCATTTGTTAGCTGAATGCTATTTTTTGTTTCTTAAAAAATTCTATAGGAAAACATTAGTTCATAATGATTATATAATAGAATAATTAGAGTTTCCCATTTCTGAAAAGAGCCCTTCTAATAGCCAAGTTTTACTTTAGAAAAATCTCCATAACTCGTAAACCATACGGTAAACTTTGTTTAAATTTTTGCATTCTTGTGTCTTTTAAGGTAAATAACTGACCTATGTTGTCAATTTTATAGTTCCTTATAGTGCCCATTATGGGGTTCATACCTTAAATAAAATGTGGCAACTAATAGGTAACTCAAAATTAGCTGATAAGTTTGTCCTGATATTGGACCAAACATCTTGGTCATGAACAATTTAAATCTTTAAGATTGGTTGTGTTTATTCAATCGAGTCGATCAAATGATTTTGGTCAAGTTTGAAAACAAATTGTAGCAGACACAGCCCGATTACATTGGGGAGCATTTCTTTTCCAAAATGGATATTCGACTTAACCCTAAAATGCTAGTCAGAAAATATCACTTTCATTAGTTTTAGTTATGAACCTGTGATAATATTGTTATTTGCATTTGTTTCGATCTCGTCATTTATCATTAATGTATCTGTGAATTCAATAATATGTACTTAGCCTGGTTATATTTTTATATATGATGCACTTTGATACCAAATTCTTTCTAACGAGATAAGTAAAGCCTCTTTTTCATTCCTCCGAGTACAATTTATTCATATTAAATCACTATTGTACCGTCATTTTTATTGTCAAAAATCCACATCAAACACTTACAATGCTAGAAAGTACAAAATGTTGTAAAATAGACAGGTCATTTTACACAACTTAATACAATATCAATTCTATTAAACTCTTACACACACACATGTTAAACCTATAAAGGACTCGACAACCGCCCGTCCAATATAAGTTAAACATCAGATGTCTGTGTACTCGTCAAATACATGAAGATTTCAGAACTGTACTTAACACTTATATAGTATAATAACCTCGAAATAGAGCATAGTTGCATTTTATTGTATGTTAATGATTGTACAATTATAATTATGTGGATGTCAAACGTTTGGTTATCATGTTATCTAAATATGAACACACAAGACAAGACATTGATTTTTATACTCGTAAGTTATTTTATATGTTATTTTTATTTTCAGGAAATGACAAATATTGTGGATTTAACTACCTAAATAGCACAATTTACGAAATCGGAGAAGTGCTTTATGGAGATTGTTACGCTAACAGAAACTATTTTTGCAAAAATGAAACAGGTACAAGTTATATTTGGTACGTTAGATGACATCATTATACGGTAATTTTGCTAAACTGATTGGAAACTTTAAAACCAGAAATACCAGTAAATGAAATTTAACTTTTTTTATTACAGTGATTACTTGAATAGTAATTCAACATGAACAATCAGATTTTTTCTATAGCATATTATGTAGCATATTTTTCCTTACTATACTTAACAGGGGTGTTAGTTGACTATAACAGTACTCGGGATAATGTCAACTGTAGATTTAACGTTTCATTTAGTGACTTAAAAAGCATGCGGTCAAGAATTAAACCAGGATATTATTGGAATACTGGGACTATGTATGGGACAGGTAAAAGTTGTATCACTTTGATATGTTTATGATTTGAAAAAATAAGGCTAAAACACGGGAACATTGGCTGAAATATTTTGAAATTTAATTTTTAATAATTTTTGTAAATGACACTAACATAGCTAACGTGGCGTTCATTTAAAATATGCAAAAATGTATGTGAGAAAGATGAATAATCAGTGCACATCATTATTTAACGTGGAATATCAAGTACAGCAACATGCCAATAGCTGAAAATGTCCAAAAAATATAACGTTAAATAATTATCATAACAAAGCTATGTTTCAGTTATATAACTCTACCGTTATTTAAAAGGCGTTTAAAATTGATTATATAACATTAACTCAATAGTGGATTCTTTATCGAAATAGTTTATAAAACATATCGGAAGCTTTTAGCATATAAAATTATTAAAATGCAGTTGATTTGTACTTTTGTAGCTAGTACGGCTAGAACAGTGTTGGACAACTTTAACGGTAAGTAGCAAAGTCAGCGTATTATTTTACGAAAGCCTGTGTTTTTCTACGCATATCTTTTATCTTAAGTTCTATGCTAAGGAAGTTCATAGCATAACAAAATTATTTTTTTCCTTTAAAATTATATATGTTGATAATGGCTGAATCATAAAGGCGCAAAATAAAAAAATAAAATAAGGCTTATAAAACTTACAACTTTTCTCTGAATAAAAAATCATTTGTTATCAAAAATCTTAATAATAATACATTTTTCGAATACTGAATATATGACTAAAGTTTTGTTTAAATAAGAACGATAACTTAAAAATATATATTGCGTTCCCACAATGAGAGACAATAATCATCTTGATATATTATCACATTTTTTGGTGTTCTCTTATTAGTGACTTTTTACAAAATAAGCCAAGATAAGTTGATTTTCCAGTTCAAGACATATTATGCGGAGGCTATAAAAGTTCGATTGGAAGGTATTATGCAAATTGTACGAAAAAACGTTTCTCGTTATGTACGAAGGATTTAGGTTTGTAAATTATTACAAAATGTTAAAGTTATTCATTACCTTAAATGATTACAGTTTTGTCTGATATTACAATACCAGTGTACACGACATGCTTGGCTCCATCAGGGTTTTTCAAATTCTATCTGAAAGACCCTGGTTCCATGTAGGTAGTCAAGTGTTTGTTGTTGTTGATTTTGGGGAGTATTTTTGGTGCACTCATTGAATGTCGCCTATTTTCGTGGACCTTGTTTTCATATATTTTTTATAGATGCTTTCAACTAATGATGAGGATAAGAAATATGTTCAAAAACTATAATGATATTCTGTAATATACTGTAATATACGTTTTCGGGCGTTTACAGTTTACTTGAAGAAATAGACTTAAGCATTTTAAGTTGAAATTTTAAGCAAATAAATGTATTTAAGTTGGATTTTCTTCTTGCAATCAAGTTAAAATGGTATTTTGACATGACATGAGTGACAGAATGACATAATGTTTTACTGTGTTGTTATCCACAGGTTCAAGCATTGAAAATGGACCAATTTATAACATTTGTTTTGATTCTAAGTGTGAAATGTATTGCTGACATAATTCATATCATGGTTTAGATTATAGTCCAAAGATCTGTATCTTCATCCTATGGTATACATGTCGTCTGATTCACTGTATGCACTATTTTGGATGTGCGTAGAACTATTGACCTCACATTCATTTTTTTTTTTGAGATGTTAGCTAGGATTTTATGTTTTCACTTTTTGATATTTTTAAAGCTAAATATGAATAAAAATGTTAAAATTATCAATAGATAAATTTTATATGTTACTGAAATATCATAGCTGCAAATAAGTCTGGAAGACAAATTCAAATAAATCGTATAGTTTGTACGTATCACAATACAATAAGCAAAATTTGAGAATCAAAAATAATTTTCCCTAATATCTTTTTGATCAATAAAACTTGCACACATTCAGAATAAAACCCGTGACAGTTAACAACAGGTATACAATTCATTTTATGACAATTTCGGGAGACTACTACCACGTGTATTATAAGATGTACATTGATGTGTGTTTTGCACAAATAGCTGCAACATTGTGTTCTAACTAATCCCCTTTTTAACAACGAATGAGATTTCGAGTGCGTATAAATACAATGTATACAAGATGTCAAGAGAAGAACATTGACACGGCATTTGACGTCAGACATGTCAAACTACAAAATGGCGTCAGATAACGATGAACAAATTATTTCTTCGATGAATCCACATTTATAATTTAGTATTTAATACTTTTATTTTAATAGCATATGAGCATAGACACAGTTTTCATGTTTCGTGTATTATCACATAATATCATTTTACAAATATCATTTAGATCTATTGCCTACATGACTTTATTATATACATGTACTTATAATGAAATGTTTAGATATATTGATGAAATAAAAATGCGCATTTTAACAGCAGTGAAACATATTTTCGTATTTTCACTGGTGTCTTCCAGACTTCTTTCTTCTAAATTTACCAATTAAACAAAATTCAAGGGACATCTTTAATATTGTAATGTTAAAAAATGACAAATGTCTATAATTAACAGAAAAGTTTTTTTCTATAAATACAGGATTTATTTTCATCTTGTGGTATGAAAATTATCTTATATATCATATAATATATTATCAAGAGACAACTACAGATACATTTCATACATCAACCAAACAGCCAATGAAAGAACAAACTTTAACCAGAGATAAAACAAATGTAATGAACATTCATCCACAACAGGAAGAGCGAAGTTCAGGTTGTATTTTAATTAATTCATTTATCTGATTATTTGTTTGCATGACTTTCAACGATATCAACGTTCAGTTTATTTATGAGATATTTTAATCTTTGAATACTTGTTGTCACTTAAACTGAAATATTTCGCATACATAGACGCCAGTACCAATAGCCCAGTACCTATTTTATTCTTCGTAAACATATAACCTTTCAGCATTTTATTGTCATTGGCAAATTTGGACATGAACGTTTGACGTTTGAATAATTTATCGGCATGACGATGATTATATTTCCCATAGACATATTTCGATAGAGATCATTTGGTAACAAAAGTACCAAAATCGAACAAGCAACCCGTCAGAACATTGGACAGCCTATTAATGTATGATATCTTTCGAACGAATGAATACAATAACAGAAGAAAAGGAACAACCACACACGAAGTTTTTTGTCACTTAATTGTCCATTGAACTTTTACATTTGATTTAAAAACAATATGGCATTACATTAGAAGGATATTATAGACATTTCAAACATATTACCATTATAGATTTATATAATGTTGCAAAACTTTAATTCATGTGTATGTATTTTTCTCAATGACGTATTTCAGAGATAGGGATAAAAGTTGGTATACCACTTGGAATAATATTACCTTTGACATGTGGACTTTTAATTATCATTTACATTTACAGGAAAAGGTAAGATATGTATTTATTCATTAAAGGTCATGGTCAGCATGGCTTAGATTCGAACATTGACATGAATTTTTGGAATAGTTTTTACATATACCGTTTAAAGTTGTTTTCCTAATTTAACCAATGTCATTACCAATACATTTCTTTCCTTAAAAATATACACGTACTTGATAGAAACCTAACAAACATACACTTATTTTTGATTTCGTTTCTAGGATAAAATGTTGGCAGTCTAGCAATCCAAAACATGAAAATGGACGTATGGACCAGTCTCTAACTCAAAAAACTTTGCAAGTTCATGGCAACCTCAACGTTTACTCTGAAAGTATTCAAGAAACTCAAACATCATCTGAGCACCATACAAATGAAAATAATCTAACTGACATAAGCGCACAGTATGCTGTTGTCAAAAAACCTAAAAAGGTTGACACAACATCCAGAAAAGATGATTTCTCAAATAAATCGCATCAAAATGCAACGAATGATGAATACGATGTTGCTGGTAGGTTTCAAAATTGTAGTTCTAATCAGTCGGACAATCTGTACAACCATTTTGAAAGCGTGGACGAGTACAATTCCACATCTTTTGTCAGGGAAGAAGGAGATTGTAACAATTTGTACAACACAACAGGAGACCGCAATCTCGTTGAATCTCCATACGACTCAACAATTCAAGTGAATAACACAGCATTGCCTGATGACGTTTACAATCATGTATCGCAAGATGACAACTACTATGACTCTACATCAACTTCTAGAAATAAGTTATAAGACAAATTAACTGTGCAAACCAAGTATTACAGAAATTTCTTGTTCATTAGAACTGGGTGTCAAACTCTAGTTTTGTTGTAATATTAATGTATAGGTGATGTAGCCGCTGTGATAATTTTGTCTGTTGCTTTTTCTCAATGTTTTTTGTTTTCATTTTCTGATCTTAAATGATTAATGATACTGTAATTCTTGTGTTGAAGATGTTACTGCTATCAAATACTTGATTCCGTTCAAATGAACTAAGTCTGACATATTACATTGAAATATAAAAAAACCCATTTAAATGTGATGTATTTCAAGGATAATAAACTTTTAATAATGACTAGTTTTCCCAATCTCTCGCACATATCTAAAAAAATCCCTTATAACACGACCATTTGCTTTCACTAATATCTACTTAAATTATTATCTAAAAATCATAAAACATGTATCATTGATAAATGCAACAAAAACAGATTACTATTTAGTTATCTAGTAAGGCCAGTAAGGAAGATACGTGCTCATGTATCGCCGATATTTCATTCAAACACAGATTCTAAACCAGACAAACAAACATACATTAACTGAAAATCAATGCAAACCCTTCATGATTACAAAAATTTCTACTTCAAACATACCTAATAAAATGAACCCGAAGTATGAATTGGATATAGTGAAGACTAAGGCATGTATTAAAAAACTATTATAAAGCTATTTTCAATTCAACTATATGGCTATATGTTGAATACATATATGTAACAAGTAAGTTGTTCTTTGTGTCTAAATACATTTGTTAACATACCTGTTTGACCACATACACACCGAAAAGGACATTTTGGACGAAATATTTTTTGTATACCTCGAGCATAATTAATGGACACTTTTGTTTATGCAATCAAATTTTGATCCTTTATCTGACAGAAATATTTCATTTAATTATTATGGCGAAGTTATTTCGATGTTATAAAAGTAGTTAACGAAGTGAATCATTGAACAAAAAGACATTAGTGTAGATTTACCTTTTTCACGAAACCTAAACAGTAAGCAACAATTTTAGAAATAGAAAAATGTATAAAATTACTTGCTAGTTTTTCCTCTTATCTATCAAAGGAATTAAACAATCGTTTCAGAAAGTGACAGATACGGAAAAAAGAACCCATGTGTGACACAAAGCTCATAGCAACTTTGCCTCTCACAACACATTTGCAATAAACAATATCGTTTGATGTCAAGTCTTCTATCAACGTTAACTGCACTTCATGCCAACTACAAAAATAAATCAGAAATCAGACTTTTATTAGCGCATTTAATAGAAACAACACGTTTATGAATAATCTGTGTAATAGAAATTTATAAAAATAATATACTTGAAAGTGTTTGCTACCTATTAGATATAAAGTGACTTACTTTCCATTATGAGTAATAATGTTCTGTTACTTTTAAGCTGTTTAACGCATATAAAGGAAACGCAAAATAATCTTGTTTCACGACAAAATTTTAGTATATGTATTTTCTCAATATGGTTTGCTTACAAAATAGATAAAACTTTGTGTTCTTTTTCTGTGATAAAAACATAGATATTTGTATAGCAAATGTAGATGAATTGCAATTCATATCACTTATTAGAAGAAGACGCGTATTTACGGATAATTTAAATTAAATGCCGTCCAATGTTGCCTCGTAAGTTAAAATAAATATTGCACAAATTTACATAGTGTAGCTACAGATTTTTCTGCAAGATGAAATAGACCATATCATTAAACAAAGCTTAAAGCACAAGTGTTGGATTTACGAAAGGGGATACAAATAAAACCGATTTAAGGCACTATATTTAAATTCATATTTTACGATTTTTGAAACATTTAGACTAGAAAAATATCTTTCTCACTTATCGTTATCTGCTTAGCTACTTTTTAGCAAGTTCTTAAAGCGTGTTGTGAGATATATTTGCATAAACTATTCATTCAACCAAGGGTAAAAAACATTTTTATCTGAGATATTTTTAAATGTACATGTATAATGAGTACATATAATTAGAAATAAAGAAATTCTAACAAAAAATAATTTAACCAAAAAGAATTAGAGAATATGAATGGATCAACCTAAACATATTTCCAGCTTGACCACAATCTCTGAACAAAGTGATAAGGAAACTGTAGAACACCAGCAATGTGACGAACATCAGTATGGCTCTGCTTGACCGGTACACAACAATCATGTTGTAATGAATGCATATGTCAATGACGCGAGGATATATAGATGAATATGACACACCATGCACTTTACATACATTAATTACAGTAAAATTTATTAATATGATATGTATATATTGAATAAACATTTTTACAAAACAGTGTTTTTATTTCACAGGCAAAGGGCTAAAATATCTTGATTTTTGTTATTCGTATCAATATATTCCTTCAAGATAAAAGATGATAAATTTCAGCAATTAAAGTATTTCACCCAAAGATGAGCATAATATATCTTTAATATTTGTTATATCTTTTTTTATAGGCATATGTACGGTATGTACTTTTATAAATGATATAAAAATAGTCAATATCATCTTCCGTTTCCGTGTTTTAAAAAAAAACATTCCTTACATATCTCAAGTATTCAACTAGTTGGATTAAGCTGGCTACAATGACCATAAGCATGCTGTAATTCCAAACTTATGCAAAATTGAAGATAAAAAAGTTTTTCTCAATATATTGTAAATGTTTTACAAGGAACGAATGTTATGATGAGAAAGTCAAAATGAATGCTTTCTATGGGGAAAGTTCAATCGGAACAATATGAGCTAACTTTTGAGCTTTTTTAGGGATTCTTATTTTAATCTATTTTATCGCCATATCAGCGTTGTTTATGCCGTGTGGAGGCTGTAAAAAGTCGCCCCGTACATTAAATCAGGGATGTTTTACTTCCGATCCTTAAAGATCGTTCAGCACGACATTATTGTTGTGATTGAGGTTCTTTAGTTATTTCTATTCGTTGGGTGGTTCCAGTATTCCTCACTTAAAAACTGTTGAATCACCCTTAGGATATGAGGCATGCTTTTTAAATTTGTCTTTTGACGTTATATCTGAGATATGTTGGCTTCATAACCTCAGATCCCCTTTAAAAAGTCACATTGAAGGTTCCATGATAACAGCCTTATGAACACATCTGCGGATGTTTCAAAATTCTAAATTTTACCAGTTCATGTAAAATGTTGAATTCTGCTTAAGCCGGTGCTATAGGGCGTTGACGGTAGTTTGCACTTGACAATACCGTCTATGAACAGGCTCAATCAAACCGAGCCTGAAACATTTTCAATTTCGCCGCGTTGGGCTTTCTTTAGGGAATCTTATTTCACTATATTTTATAGCATTAATAACTTCAAGTTTTAAAAATAAAGACCCCCGCTTTGTCAAATATTTCAATATGTTTTCTTTTTTGCTAATGTGATTAAAATAAACAAAATTTTATCATTTTAAACGCTTTTTTTATTCTGTGTTCACTGCAAGTACCTTAAAGGGTTTAAATCTTTCTCAACGTTTAATAATGAAACCATTAAGTGTTGATGTATTGTACTCATTAATTTCACTGTGTCAATATAATGTATAGTTGAAGTAAGCTATGATAAAATCACGGCAACCTTGCTAGGTTTTAACAAGCATATTAATTATCGTAAATTTAAAACAAAGGAAAATAAGGTAATGGTTTGAACCACGGATTTGCAGTACTAAAAATAACAGAAAGGTACAAATTATGTATAGATGCCAAAAATTTCAGCTCTTATTGATAATTATTTTTTTAATTGAAGTTGTAAAGCAATTAAAAACAAACAACACATTTAGACAATAATAAATTAATTTATGAAATAAATAGAATACAGCTGGAGTTAAATGTTTATCTAAATGGATGGGGATTTTTTCAACAATTGAATTGTTACTTTTGCATCTATATTAAATATATGAAAGCTGAAAAAAACATGAACAATTCGTTGTAAAACATAATCTTAACAGATTTTACTTTTATCTTTATAGATTCAACAATTGTGTGTTACACTAGATAAGTGATTACTCTATTTTTTTTTAGATATTTTATCTTTCCCATCTGTGACTACTTCCTTCTTTGGTATCATTTTTAATATAAACAACTTAATCATTGTAAATTGAAGATGTATTTGATTGATAAAGTGGACAAGGTTTTGTATAACGTAAGGTAGAATTTGATTTCACAAGTGCTCAACAATAAGTGCAATTAGATCTTATAGATAGAAACTGTTTGTTTTGTATTTACAGTAGAAAAATTACAATCATTATTTTCGCCATCGCATAGTGCGAGTAAAGGAGAAATTCTTATTACAGATTTATTTCATATTCACGAAAACCCAAACAAATTTTATTTTATGCGTATAACTTAAAACAAATGTTTTTACATACTCATTGAAACAGAATGCGAAGTGCAAGAAGATATATGAAATTTATTTCATTAATAAAACCAAATATTTCATTGGTATGCAAATAACATTAGTTTTTATGCTTTAACATTATGAAATAAACGATTCCTGATAGCATACAGTATTTAAGGCTTTATTTCACATTTTCTTTTTGCTCTGCTTGGCATCTTTCTTTAGTTCAGTGTCGCTATGTTTTCTGGTTCTTCGGGATCATTGATTCAGGTACGTTAGCGTTGAGGATTGAATTCCGCTCAAACCGGTGCCAGGGAGCATGAGAGGTTTTGCACGTTTACATTATCTCTCTTGAAAAGCCTTTATCAAAACGAGTCTGCAATTTTCAATTAATATGATTTATATGTTTTCATGTTTTCTGGGGAATCACCCTTTTTGCAGATTTAAATGTTACAAGTTTATATTTCGACCTAAGATAGATAATAGTTCATTCGGATACCTTCAGCTGGTAACCTATTTAAATCAAAGCACAGAAGGCGCTGAATTTGTTTGGGTCTCAGAATGTAAGAAAGGTGCAGGTTGTGAGATTATATGTATAGTGCCACCAATGCTTTCCAGCGTTTTAATTGTAGTAAATTGGCTATAAGACTAATTGCAACACTGATATTCAATCCAATGTTTATTTGACTTAACAATTTGAAAAAAAATGAGTTACCTTTACTGGGATTTGAACTCCAGACCTCTCGCTTCCTAAGCGAGCCCGAAAACCCTTCAGCCACGGTGAATTTATATGTGAATGGGCTGAAGAAAACCATATTATTCTAAATTAGGGCTTGTTACGACTTTAACTGTTGTTTAACACAGATGTAAATAATCTTGGAGCTTACTATAAGCATTTATATTTATAAAGAATCAAAGGGCTGCAAGTTCTATGGTATCTTCTGATCTTTGCAATCTAAATCGTACTGTATATCTGTATGCATTTTCCTGTATAGGTTTATTTTTATGTATTATAATTCATTTTGCAAGGCACCAGAGTTTGATACATATGGAATTCTGCATAACTAGAGTTGTATCAAAAAAAATCATTTATGTTCATTTTTTACGACAGCCACACTTTATCCTTGCATATCATGGCTACTTCCTTAACAAAAACACTTAAAAAAGAATTTAACAAAAAAAAAAGGTTCCTCGACTGGGATTCGAACTAGAGACCTCTCACTCACTAAGCGAGCGCGTTACCACTGTACCACGGAGAAGTTATACACGGAAAGTCTGAATAATATCAAGTCATTCTAAATTTAGAACTTCCATTGCATTTCGGGTTTGTAATCCTTATTAATATTTCGAGGTATTTTGTTCAGGGTAAACCTGTTGTTTATAATTGAAGTAAATATTTTAGCGAAAATCCTCTCGCCCAAACAGTCCGACATGTAGAATCTATATATTCCACTACTTGGTTTTTGTAGTATTCGGTAATAAATAGTATTTTCATTGATAAAATCATATTCATCCGCGTAATTTGTGATTGTGCATTTATTGACAATTCTATAAGCCAACACTATTGTTTAACTTTAAATGCGTTGTAATTTGTTGGATACTTGAAACAAAATAAAATATTTCTTTCTTTTAAATCGCTAGTTTTAAGCTGTTTTGAGAACTACTTGTTGTTAGGTTTGTCGTAAACTTCTGTGTCAGAGATTAAATGTCCGCTTTGTATTTAGTTATTTTCGATCAGAAAATACAATAAAACAATATTAGAAATATTCGACCATTCGGGAATTACTTTGCTTGAAAATTGATGCGCCTGTCTTTGACCGTCTTTACGCAGTGATCTCCCCTGAATTTTTCGGCTTTAGTGTACATACAAAAGGGAAGTAACCGCTTCAAAAAAGTGGACTACTTTCGGCATTTGCAATTAACAACATTAGACTCTGAAATTTCGGTACCATTATTTGTTTGGTCTGACGACCCAAACAAATAAAAATGACGTTTCGCGTGTAATCTATTTAGAAGTGACCTTTAGCGTATAATCTATCAAAAAAGATAGTTAGCGTGTATTCTATTAAAAAAAGTGATATTTAGCGTGTAATTTATTTAAAAGTTGACATTTTAGCGTGAAATCTATTTAAAAGGTGACCTTCTGCGTGTTTTCTATTTAAATAGAAATCTTTAGCGTGTAACCTATTTAAAAAATACCTTCGCGTGTCTATTTTAAAAAATGACTTTTAGGGTGTAACCTATTAAATCAAAGTGCTGCAGCACTGAATGTGACGGACATGCAACCGGAGAGACATTAAGGTTTTTTTTAGAAAAAAAAACACAAAAGATATAACAGAGAAAATTTGTTCCATACAAGTTCGAGATTTGTAGAGCAATATATTTCATGTGTCCCAATCTGATATAATTCAGATTTTCAACTTATACAGAATGAAATTTATGACTAAAAACTCTGGTCAAACTTGTAAATCAGTGTCCTTATCGATTTATTCCAAGGAATGATATGTAAATAGAAAAAAAACTGTCAACGAAATATTTCTAAAATAAAACCATGCAAATTAACTTTAAGCATAATACATTATACATGTGAGAATGTTATTTAGAATTGATTCGTGTTATATCATAGTGGGCATATAGACAATAAAATATACATAGATGTAGAGGCCAGAGCACATCGTTTTTATTTTAATTTAAATGTCACTTAAGCTGTCCTTTTCAATTTCACACTAAATTCCATTTTCAACTTGTTTGCTTGTAAGCAAAGTAAGTATCCGCAGGTTAAAGGAATAGGAATGGATGGATTGATGTCTGTCTATTATAAATATTCATCATTAAAAAAGAGGTACCATGACAGTTTTTTTGTTGACATCAACCTTTTAAGTGAGAAATTCGTGTTTTAAGACACTATTTTTTACTTGAGAAATAAGTTCATGGGCGCCGCCATTTTGGCGTTCTGTCATTCTCGCGAGACAGACGAGACCGAGATTGTGACGTGTTATACCCACTTCCGGTATAGGTGTACACGCTGGTACAACTGAAATATATCTTGACGAAGAACTTATTAATTTTATTGCGCATATTATTTATTATTTATGAAAACATCATATGGAACTGAATTGCTTTAATTAATTAATTGAAGACGCCGCGGCATTAATTATCATTTGTCCGATTTTCAAGCTTGCTGATGATCCCACCACATGATTTAAGCAATGACTGCTTAGTTTTCAAAGATAAACCATCAATTTAATTTGGGTACTTCGAGAAACTTCTTCAAATTGACGATATATCCTTTTATTTGGTACTTAATTTTCGCTAGACAAGCTGTCTGAATAGGGTACATCGCCTGTCATGTATCTTTTTCTCAGCGGTAAATATCAACTAAATCCAATATGCAGATATTTCCTGAGGACGCGATTTTCCGACATTGACGCTAAAAATAAAATGGCGCAGGAAAATCGGCAGCTAGACTAATATCGTATGAAAACAAAACTGTCCGTTAGGTTATTAAGGCACCCAGTCAAAACTGGTATCAACAGCAACAGGTTGCCCATTCCCCTATAATTACGCATATTCTAGGATTTATCCAGTTCCCTAAAGCTTTTTTCTTCGTTTATATCTACTTACCAAATTCCTTTCCCCGACAGATACGCATTTCTACTACCGTAAATTTAATCCAATAAAACAAAAAATCATAAATCTACTTAATATTCAAAATGATAATTGGTAACTGAAAAAATGTGTTGCTATTGTATGAAATGCTGTAGTTTACAGTATAACTTGACAGGTGCGGAACTTAATTTCCCCTAAGGTCATTCAGTTCACTGATGAAGCGTAAAAAAAATGTCTATTTCGTCATTAGAATATTTGACAAGGGTGATTAACCAATCAGGGCAACATTGTGCATGATCAAAAGGTCTGTCGGCACAGAGGCGTACAAGGAGCAATAAAAATCGTTAGTACACAGTGTGACAGGAACATTTGGTGCAAATTAGGAACAATTAAAATGGATAATGCACAGTATTAGTCATAAGTAGTAAGAACCAGCAATTGTGTGAATAAATTATGCAAATGAGATTTTTGAGCAGCCAATAAAAATGTTTTGCATGCAGTTAATAATAGGCTACGATTACGATGTAAATAAATACCACGAAGCATCATACGTTGACAGACATGTAAACAATTTACTTTTCAAAAGAGTTGCTTATATTTTTGAAATGTGTACATCACTACTAACATATGTTCACACCTTTTAATTTGAAAATCAGAATCAAACTGCAAAAATTTAATTACATGAACTATTAAGAACACGTTTTAGTAGGATTTAAATAATAATGATAATGATCGCCGTTCAATAATTAAAAGCCAATTATCCGTTGGTGCGTTTGTTTATTTAATTACATATTATTTGATTGTGAAACTTTGTTAAGTAATAACATGTGTATTTATTAACTCTGTGAAATATTGTTTAATTACATTAAGATGAGACTTTAATGAACATAGCATTGTTTGGAGTTACGGGCATCACTGGCCTGAAGTGTTGCGACCGGTAGACGTTGATTTTTTATTTGTTTCTTTATTTTTTTTATTTTTTGATATTGTTACGTATTTTGAACAATAAAAAAATCGCCTCTACACCTCCTGTGAAAATTAAATTGTCTGGTCAATACTTTATTATGTAAATATTTCGCTACGATTCAACTAGATTTATCATAAATCTAAAGATGTGGGGAAATGACATCACGCGCACCTGTTTTATACGGCCAATACACAAACATGGCCGCGCCTACTGATTTGTAGAAATCGGCGATTTAGCGATTTAAATTTCGTTATCATTCGTTTAATATTATTATTTGGCGGCAGAAAATTTGCAGATTTATTATTTATAGTATTCGTTTTCTGAAATCAAGTTTTTATTCTAACCTTGTTTTTCCCTTTAATTACATGTATAATGTGTACTCCCTAATCGCCTGCAGGTGAAGCAGAATCTATTTTTAGAATAGCGAATGTTAACTCATATCGTGACCTAGAAAAATATGTAAACAAACCACAAGAATCGGAAGTAGAACTGATATTATAACTTCCTTCAATAAAGATTACCATGAAAAACTACATGGTAGTAAAGTGTTGAAAAAACTCTCTTGTTACATGCATTTTCAAAATAGATATTTATACTAACCATTATACTGTATCTAATTTATTAATAACTGCTGAATATTCAGCTAAACCCGCGGTATGAGTGAAGAAAATAGTTCTTCTTTTATTAATGCGCGAGTTATTTTAGAGTTATTCTATAGCCACGAAAAACTTTTGATTTGTTAATAATAATGTTTTGTATACTGTAGAAATATTTATTTCCTACTAATAATTTCTTGGAACTCAGAGCTTACACCTTTATTATAGTATAATTTGCTGTCCTACTTTTTCGACAGCTGTAAATCGTTTCGGCAGTAATTTGCATATTGCGCAATAATACTACGGGACTATAACGTTTTCATCAATCAAATACGTTCATATTTTAACTTGGATAACTTAATTTGAAATTGAAAAGGCTAAATATGGAAGATTTTAAGATATCCCGACAAAGTATGTGAGTTTTAAAGGATAAAATTCATGTACTATTTCTGGGCTGTTATTCGGTTGAGGACACTTTGCGCGATTGTAGCAGACGAAATCCCATGTGTAGATGACTTAGCTCTGAACGCGCCTGAGGGCGCGTCCGTCGCAAAAAGTGACCCTTCAAAAGAGTTACATTGAAGGTTCTGTGAGAAGCGCCGTATGAACACATCTGTGGATATTTTTTAATTCAAAATGTCACCTTTTTTATGTTCAAAAGTTGAATACTGCTTAATGTGGTGCTAAAGGGCGTTGGTGGTAACTGCAATTTTCAGTTTTGTCGATCAAACCGAGACTGTAATATTTTTAATTTTGATGTTTTGAACATTCTTTAAGGATTCCATACTTCTCTATTTTAGCGTGTTTACCTATTTAAAAAGTAAACTTTAGCGTGTAACCTTATTAATAAGTTTGAATAAGAAGAGTTAAAAATATTTTCATCACTTAATAAATATTAACACATAAAAAAGAACAACAATAATAATAGCATCAATGCCCAAACAACTTTTACTATATTGCGGTATCAATGAAAGGTTAAAACTTGATCCAACTTTATCACGTTCATCACATATAGTAAATTGCCTGACTAACTTGATCTTATAAAATTGATTAAATCATTATATTGAGCACGTTCTACAGTTGTATTATTGATGATTTATTCACATACAGGTCAAGGATACATTTTACACAAGTTTCGTTATAAATCAAACAGTGAAAATATTTGTCAACTACAATTTATAATCATTTAGATAGTAGGTTTTGAAAGTCTGTCACATTTGAGATTACTGTTATCGTTTAAATTGGTTAAACTTCCTCCTTTATCAGAGTGTCTCCTGTTTTATTTCACCAGTTTAATATTGGACAATAATGAAGGATTATTCATTTTTGGTATTTATCGTGTTGATAAAAGCCTTGGTTTCTTCAACAGAAGGTAGTTAAAACTTATTTTATACGAGTAACGTTACATATATACTTTATATATCTTCAATCATGGTTAGTTATTTATAATATATGACAATTGATACTGTCTACTCCTTATGGCTGAAGATTTCATGTTTGTAAGATATGGCCGATACAACAACGTTTTTTGTTTGCGTCGCGGATTTATTTCTTTTGTGAACTTTTTACAACGTATTCATAATACTCTTACTAGAGATAATACATAAATTGTTCTTTTTTTTTATTTTTGTCCATTCTCAAAATTTCCAGTATTCTAATCAAGTGAAATATCATTGTTTATGCATAATGATCTTATACATTTATATTATTATTATATAATTTCGATTTTTTTTCTTAATATCAAAAAGATTTTCCACCGAGTGTGTCTTGTAACATGGAGCTTTCCTCTTGGCAAGACGCAGGGAAACATTGCATAAGTAGAGGTGGTCATATGTTTCCATATCAGACTGGCTTAGGTGGAAGTATAGACAAACTCCATTTAAAAAGTGAAATAGATGTATGGACAGCTGATTATCTAATAAGTTTGAATATAGGTAAGTATTTGGCTGTGCAATATGTAAATACATCTAAAAAATTTCGTTCTCCTCAAAACATTTAAGATTTGGTGGTGACCTTGTCATTTTGTAGCATAAAACAAGTTTAAGTATAAAAGTATTTCACAACACATAAAATATAACCAAAAGAAAAAAAATATATCATCATTTCCAACAGGTGATGCTAATTTACATGTTCATTTATAAATCATTATAAGGTTCAATCTATATATCAAGTTAGCCTTGTTTTCATTTTAACAACTTGAAGTTAAAATCAAAGGGCTGCAAGCTCTGTGGTATTTTCTGATCTTTGCAATCTAAATCATACTGACTATCTGTATGTATTTTCCTATATAAGTTTATTTTTATATACTATAATACATCTTACGCAGCAACTGCGTTAAGATTTTTTTCTATAACAGTTTGAGATTGATACATATGGAATTTTGCATGACTAGAGTTGCATCAAAAATCATTTTTTATGACAGCCACACTTTATCCTTGCATATCGTGGCTACTTCCTTAAAAAAGACACTTCAAAAAAAAAGTTGCCTCGACTAGGATTTGAACCTTAGGCCTCTCACACCCTAAACGAGCGCGATACCGGCGCGATACCAGCGCGATACCCCTGCACCACGGTGAAGTAATACGTAATATGTAGCCTGAATGAAAACAAATACATTGTAATTTTAAATTGAGAATTTCCATTTTGTGTTTGTAATCCTTATCAATTTCGAGGTATTTTGTTCACGATAATTCTGTTTAACACTGAAAAAAAATTATTTAGCGAAAATCTTCTTGCCAAAACAGTCCGACATGTATATATTCCACTACTCGGCAGTCAGATTTATTTGTGTACTACGCCCTGGAGTATTCAGTAATCGACATAGCTAAAAATAACATTTTCATTGATTAAAATGATATTCATCCGCGAAATTTGTGATTGTGACCTAATATTTCTATTGACTAATCTGAACTTTCAATGCACTGTAATTCGTTAAATGCCTACATTAAAAATTATTCTGTCTTGTAAATTGCTGGTTTTGAAGCAGTTTTGAGTGAGAACTACTTTGCGTTGTTAGGTCTGTTAGGAAATTTTGTGTTAGACCGTGGATGTTAGCTATGTATTTACTGATCTTGCGATCAGAAAATACAAAAACGTGTTTAGCCTGGTTTTCATTTTCCGAGACCAAAAGATCCATTTTAAATCTATATTGTACTTGAAGTAGCTGTATCTTTTATATAATACAAAACTGTTGTTGCTTCTAATGTGTTTCTTCTTAAGAATAGGTGTCGTTAAATCGTAAAATAGGTTTTATACTCGTACACAGCTACCAAAACCTATAACGGTTTAACAGCTGTATCCTCGTCGAACAAAATTCAGTTTTGTATTTCACAATGAATAATAATACAATTTTTTCTGTAGCCTGATAACTTTATCATATGATCTTTTGCATGTGATGTTTATCAATCTGAACATACGAGTCGCGTTTTATTAATTTTGTTCATTATGGATAATTGCTATCTCTTTAAAATTTTTAAAAACCCATTGAACGACAAGTTTCAATGAATTTTCTTTGCTTAGAGTTTCGTTTACTCTTTCAGTTTATCATTCAAGAAGAGACAAGTATTGTGGTTTTAACTATCTCAATAATACAATATATGAAAACATAGCAGATTCATTTTATGGAGACTGTGACGTTAATAGAAATTATTTTTGTATAAATAAAACAGGTAAACCTTTTTGTATTGTTATATTATATCTCAATTTACGCAAACGAACATGATTCATGTAAAATATGAAAATTAACTAAGAAAATGAAGAAAATGATTAAACAATATTTTCACAGTTGAATACTAGAGTTATCACAGTATATGGATTGTTTTAGAATCAATATATTTATTCTTTTTCAATATTGAACATGATGAATTGAATTGCCTCTATATTATAAAAATGATATTTTAACTTAAATATAAATCTTTCCTGGATTTGTTTCAGCTTTTTTAAAGCTTTTAAAACGCTTTATTAATTATCCATTTCAGGGATAGCATATTTAAATGTAACATTAATCATTCTATAAATTTGATTTTTAAGGGGTATTATTTTTATACTTACAGTTAAATACTGGTTGATAAAAATATAATTACGATAAATATGAAAAATATTTAATTTTAAGCTTTAACATGATGTCACCTACAATGTTAAAACTGCTTATTTAAAATTTACTTATTTATTTTCACGAATATGCCATATATCCCTAACGTTTCTTTTTACAACAGCTAAACAATTGATGACCCCTGTCACTTGTTATGCAACTATCCAAAAAAACTATTTAGGTGTCACCTTCCTGGTCTGTCTGGTCATATGGTCTAGTGCACTAGAAGTGTACATGTTGTGCACTTCTTGTTCAGCTCTATTACACTAGAAATGCAACAGGGTGGGAAGTTTAGTGTGAACTCAATTGTAGGAGGCACGGTTAAACATAGACGTAATTAGATTATTTATATGACATAATTATTATCCATTTTTTTTCTTGCATATGCTAATCAGGGAACTTAGTTGTGTACAACAATAGTCGAGAAAATATTCATTGTGGCTATAACATTTCATCAACAGTATTGCAAAGCATGAGGTCAGCAATCAAGCCAGGATTCTATTGGAATACCGGGATAGAATATAGGACAGGTATTACTTGTATCAAGGTCATAAATTTCTTTAAAAATAAAGCTTAAACAATTTTATCTAAGAAATCATTGTTGTTGAAAGTTAAGGTTAACCAAATGTTGAAATAAACATTTCAATAGTAAACGTGACTTAAACAAACATATGTAAATGTATGAGAAAATTCAATTATCAGTGAACATCTTTATTCTACGTAAGGATTTTCAAGGCAAAGCAACATGACAATAGCCGCTAGCCCAGACATTGTTTTTATTTATAATAAGCGTTACATTGATATTGTTGATAGCATACAAATAATTCAAAATTGATTTATTTATAGATCATTCATATCTATTTTATATATATATTTATATCATTTCACAAAATTTTAATACTTTCAAGCAGTTTGTATTGATTGTCTTTTTGCAGCTAGAATAGCAAGCACAGATGTTGGTCACATCAATAGTAAGTAGTAAAGTCAGAGTATCAATTTATAAATTCCTATCTTGACATCACACATCTTTCACCTTGGACACTTTGCAAAGAGAGTAAGCAGTTGAACACAAGTTTTTTTTGTTTCTTTAAGAACATATTGGTTGATGATTATAATGACTTTAGTATGAACAAAAAATCAATAACATGTAACAAAATGAAAATTAAATTGCTTAAAAGCTTAAGGATGATATGTCTACAAATACATCCCCTAAGTACAAAATATTTTTTTAACAAAGGCATTATCATATATTTCCAAACAACTTCTAATTAGCATCATCTTATAAAATGTATCACGATTTATCAATTTTCCAGTTGCAGACAAATTATGTGGAGCCTACAAAAGTTCAATTGGAATGTATTATGCAAATTGTATGGAGAAACGCTTTTCGTTATGTACGTTAAAGACACTGTTTGTAAATTATTTAGATTTTCAGTCTCAGACAAATTATATATATATACGTTACCCAAGCGCCCTTCAGTTTTATCTAAAATCACACGACCTGCTGTGCTCCTTGTCGGTGGCCCTGTGTTACTGTTGTTTTCTGGGGACACTCATTCAATGTCGCCCTTTTTTGTTTATCTTTATTTTCATATTTTGTGATTCATGCTTTCACTAATGATGAAGATATGATACAGGTTAATGAAAACTAATTTGTTTAATCATTTACCATACGTTGTCGGGATGCAAAAAATATTAGACGCAGTGAAATTTAAGCATTTTAAAATGAAATCTAAGTTTACTAAAGTTTACACTAGAAGCATTTTAGGTTGTATGTATGCGTGTGTTTATCATTTCTATGTACCATCACGCCAAAAAATGATAATTTGAGAAAGAAAATCAATAAATTTATAATTGTTTTTGTAGGTTCAAGTAACGGGGCAAGGCCAATCAATAACATTTGTTTTGATGGTGAGTATAAAATCAATTGCTTGCAAACTTAAGATCTTTGTTTGATTTTAAATTCAAATATTCAACTACATCTTAAAGTGAATAAAGCTATATCTTTGGTGTTTTTGGATGGGAAAAAAAATATTGTTTATATTATAATTAAAACAGCTACAAAAACATAAAACAAAAGAAATATGTCCATATATTTTAATTAAAGCGAGTGGATTATGTGTTATATAATCGCTAAAACAACTAAAAGAATAGGGGAATATTTTGTTCCGGAACATTTTATTCTGATTAACGTACAATATTCATGTATGTTGAATAACAGGGGCATTCTATGTAAAAACTTGTTTGAGATTATACCGTTAGGATATGAAAACAATATGTATTTCCCGATTTTAAATCTTTACAAAATTTCTCATCAGATATAGCTTTATTCCCTTTAAGGTAATGGAGGTCAACAAATTTCATAAATGCACTATTTTGGGACGAGCGCGTAAAACTACTGACCACACATTCATTCATTGCATGTTAGCTGGGACTTTTTATTAGATTTTGTACTTTTTTCAAAGCTAAAATCTAATGAAAAAGAAATATTGAGAATCAAAAGTATTTTTCCGTATTTCGTAATTGATAATAAAAATCTTTCAGAATAAAATCCTTGAAAGTTTCCATATTAAAGATAAAGAAATTATTTACTGCAATCACGGAACTCTGCTACGACGTGTATGTTTATTCGTTGCTGTTCGTATAAAATGCACAGAAACATTGAGTTCTAACTCATTCCCTAATAAACAACGAATGAGATATCGATTACATGCATATACAATGTATTCAAGTTGTTGCGAGAAAACCTTTGACATATCTTTTTACGTTAGCTATTTCAAACTTAACTTGCGTCAAATGACGATGAAAAAATATTCTACACTAAATGCACAAAACAGTATTAAATAATACTTATTCTAAGAGCATATCAGCATATAAATGTTTAAGGTATACGAGCATATTATCACATAAAATTATATTATACATATAACTTTGTGACTATAATTTATAGCTCGGAATGAGTAGTATTATGCAGCAATGAACTCAGAACTAAACCGTATTTATTAAATTAAACATTTGCCCTTTAAAATTTGTGATTGTCAATTTTTAAAAATATACGATTAAAGGTACAAAACCAACTACAATTGTAACCAGAACGGCACACACTACAAATGGCATCAAACAAAATGCAACGTTGATGACAAGTCGCCATCAAACAATTGCTGACATATCTCATACATCAAGTAAACAGTCAATGGCAGTATTAACTTCAGTCCAAGAGAAAACAAATATAAAGAACCAACATCTACAAGAAGAAAAGCAAAGTTCAGGTTTCATTTCAAATAATTCATTTTTCTGATGTTTATCTTTGCACGACTTTCAACGAAAACAGCGTTTAGTTTATTCATTAGATCATTTAATCTTCTTTTTTTGTTTCTTAAACTGAAAAATTGCGAACGTATGTACGGACGCCAGTATCAAAAATGACTTGATGTATCCTTTGTAAACAGACCAAAACTTTTCAGCATCTTATCTTTATTGACAAATTGGGAAAAAAATTTACCGGTGAATAATTTCTTGGCATGCCGATGATGACATTTCCAATGGGCATATTTCGCTACGAAAATGCCAACAGTACATTGAGTTATTGTCAAATGTGAACATCTTGATCATCAGTCAATAAAAGGCATGTTTAGGAAATAATTGTGAATGATGGACTGAACAACATATATAGCTGATAATAATGTTGCTGTCTTGTGACTCACATGATATAAGAATGCCCTGACTTCAGTTTTAATATCATAAGGTGAAACTAACAGCGCATGGAATTTTATCTGACTAAAATCTTTCGAACAATAACAAATAACAACAAAAGAAAAAGAAACACACCACGGAATTCAAGAGGTTTTGTCACGTCATTGTTCACTGAACTTAGACATTTGTTATATAAACAACAGTCTCATATAATTAAACAAGGATCTTAAAGACAATGTTAACATATTAAAAGTTTAGAGATCTATGAATGCTGTAATACTTTTTTATCCATGTATATTTAAAAATGAACGTGTTGACTAATGCTGTATTATTTTCCGTATTGACGTATTTCAGGTATAGGGATAAAAGTTGGTGTACCACTTGGAATAATATTACCTTTGACATGTGGAGTTTTAATTTTCATTTACATTTACAGGAAAAGGTAAGATATGTATTTAATCATTATGCCATGGTGAACATGGCTAAATTTCTGACATTAACATGGATTTTCGAAAAACAGTATTTACATAGCACGCTTAGAATTGTTTTCGTAGTTTTATTAACCAGTGCCATAACCAATACTTCAAATGCCTTTTCATAAAGTTTACTTGATTAAAACTAACACATATCTTTTTTTATTTCGTTTCTAGGATAAAATGTTGGCAGTCTGGCAGTCCAAAACATGAAAATGGACGTATGAATCCATTCCACACTCAAGAAACTTCGCCAGTTCACGGTCAGCTCAACGTTTACTCTGAAAGTATTCAAGAAACTCTAAAATCATCTGAACACCACACAAATGAAAATAATCTAACTGACATAAGCGCACTGTATGGTGTTGTCAAAAAACCTAAAAATGGCGACACAAAATTTAGTAAAAAAAATTACTCAAATAAGTCGTATCAAAACACAACGAATGATGAATATGATGTTGCTGAAAGGTTTCGAAGTTATAGATCTAATCTATCGGACAATCTATACAACCATTTTGAAAGCGCGGACGAGTACAATTTGACATCGTTCGTAAAAGAAGAAGGAGAATGTAACAATATGTACAACACAACAGGAGACAGCAGTCTCGTTGAATCTGATTACGACTCGACAACACAGGTGAATAACACAGCATTGCCTGATGACGTTCTCAAGGTGAGAACTACTATGAGTCTACATCAAATACTAGAAATAAATGATAAGACTAATTTGCTGAACAAACCAAGTGTTACAGAAATGTATTTTAATTAGAACCGGATGTCAAACTATAGTTTTGTTTTATGGTTAATATATCGTTTATGTGGCAGCAGAAATAGTATTGTCTATTGATTTATCTCAGTGCTGCTACAATTTCTGATCGTTAGTGGTTAATGATACCTGTACTTTTAGTGTTGAAGATGAAACTGCTATATCCAGTACTTAAGCCCGCTGAAATGAACAATCAACTAAGTTAACATATGATGTTTCCTTTGTGTCAAAAAACATTTCGGACAATGAACACGTCGGACTGAACAAGACATTTTGGAAAAATTATTTTGTATATCTCTGACATGATTTATGGACCCTTCTAACTATGCAATCAAATTATCATATTATCAAATATTCCGTACCATGTTTTTTGTTGATTTTGTAGGTATCTATTTGTGAATGTATCCTATATTTAGTATGACACTGTAAGTTTGATAATGACACCGTAAGTTTGATTATTTTTAGGCAAAGGAGATATATCGAATTCTAAATTATTATTTTCTACTTTTAGCCAACGCGTCGTATGATATTGTTGTATGAAATTTTGAAATAATGCTGACAGGTACACCGTTTGAGAAAGCATATTTCTATCTTTGGTTTTTATGATCGTCCAAATATATTGCCGTATAATACATTATCATGTTATATCACGCCGACTACAAAATACTCTTCTCAGATTGGATGTTTGACGTCATGTGGTTATCCTTTATCAGACAGAAATATTTGATTTTATAAACAATACCATCGCCCATCCAAATAAATATAATGAATTGCAGAATGTTTCCATTGTTTAAAAATAAGATGTTTGCAATCTTGAAAACGAAATATTGATAATGTCAATACTAACGTTATTAAGCCATCAGAGCAATTTACAAAGTGAATCATTGTGCAAACATACATAAACATGGATTTTGCAATTTTACGAAACCTTAACTGCAAGCAACAATTCAATAAAAAAAAGAAACGGAACGTTTGACAAGTATACCTATACTTATAATTAATTTTTAAACAAAAATAAAATCGTTTTGGATAGTGACAGATACCTATAATCCGTCGCTAAGAAAATAGCCATGTGTGACACAAAGTTATAGAAACTTTACGACGACACATGTGAAATGAGCAGTATCGTTTGATTTAAGTCTCCGACCTTATAAAGGGTAACTGCACACGAAATAAATTAGATAGAGGGCATTTAATAGAAAAACAACGTAGAATTTATAAATAAACTGTGTAATAGAAATTGATGAAAATAATATTTTTGGGTAATGAATAGAAAGTGTTTTCTAACACTGATATATAAAGCGACTTACTTTCCATTATGAGTAATAATGATCTTTTATTTTTATATTTCCATTATGAGTAATAATGATCTTTTATTTTTATGTTTTCTGTTTAACGCATATAATGGAAACGCAGAATAATCTTGTTTCACGACAAAATGTAAGTATATGTATTTTCTCAATATGGTTTGCTTAAAAATTTAAATGAACCTTTGTATATTTTATCTGTGATATAAACATAGATATTTGTATAGAAAATGTAGACGAATTACAATTCATACCACTTATTAGAAGAAGAGCCGTATCAATGTGTGATTTGAATTAAATGCTGTTCAATGTTTAGTCGTTAAATGAACAAAGATTGAAATGAATATTGCACAAATTTACATAGTGTAGCTACAGATTTTTCTGCAACTGAAATTTATGTCAATATACCATAATATTAAACAAAGCTTAAAGCACTTGTGTTGGATTTACAAAAGGGGACTACAAACACACATAAAAACGATTTAAGACGCTATCACTTTTTAAATGCATAATTTACGATTTGTGAAACTGCTAGACTGAAGAATTTATCTTTCTCACTTATTTTACTTTAGCAAGTCTTTAAAAAGAGTTGTGAAATATATTTGCCTACATTATTTATTCGACGAATGAAATTTTATTATCTGAGATATAAAATGAACAAGTAAGAGTATAATAAGCACTTATCAATAGAAGTAATGAAATTCTACCCCCAAAAAATAAGAGAAAGACAAAGAATTTATCAACGCAAAAATATTTCAAATATTGACCACAGTTTCTGGGCAAAGTAATAATGAAACTCGAGAACATCAACAAAGTGACGAATATTTGTATGACTCTGCTAAACCGGTTTATCAATGATCATATTTTAATGAATACATAAGATTATAGGGTAGATTATACTTCCTTCTCTTTGCTACAAACTACTTGATTATAGTAAATAGTAGATGTATTTTATTGATAAAATGACCGAGATCAGATGTAGCGTCACAAGAACTGAACGAAAAGTAGAAATAATGTCATCAAACCTCAAAAGAGTGGAGTTTGTTTTTAGTGAATATGAATGAATAAAAACGAGCATCCGGCGTGAAACTAAATTAAAAAAGACACTCGGTGTGTTACGTAATTAATGAAAAACAATGCCGCAAAACAACAATTTCTCTTCAAAAGTATGTGTAAGGTAATGTTGTAACATGGAAAAGCTCAGGTTTGGGTAATTCCAATATTTTCCATCATTTTCTGTTAAAACATTACTTCATATAGACGTCTTTTCACGCCTTTTCTCAAATAGTGAAAAATGCCATATTTAGATCTTTCTTTATCACGTACATTACATATACTCATCTATTCACCTGACACACAAATCACATGTATTGATTATATCCTATTAATCGAGCACATTTTTTATTGCTCATTGGAGGGTCCATAAATTTATATGTACAAGTAAAGTGCAATTCATAATACTGCAGAGAGATAGCAAGTTTAAAAATTTACAATTGTGATAAAGTGTTTTGACTTCCTCTTTTGATATCTTAACTTATGTTTTATTTCACGATTTTAATATTAGGTTAGTCATGAAGTATTTTCTTTTCTTGGTATTTATCGTTTTGATGATAGCTTTGGTTTCCTTCACATTAGGTAAGAAAAGTTTATTTGTCTTGAATTTTTAATTGATATTTAAACTAATTTTTCATCTTATACAATCTGATACAAATTGCTAATTAGAAAATGTGCTATTTCGTGTACGCGTCGTGTCTCATGTTTATGAGACAGTGGAGTCGATAAAACAATGGTGTTTTTTAATTAGTGATTTTAGTAATGACAAGACATAAGATTTAAAATAGTAAAGGTTGTGCACTTTCTGAGGACAAACTTTTTAAAATTTATGATTTTGATGGATCATAAACATAATGGTTTTTAAGTGTATTTTTTAAAAATATATTTTGATGAAAATACAATATATTAATGTAATTAAATCTAACTTTTTATTAAATTTACCACCCAGGTTAGCCCAAACATTGTCTGTATATCATGTCAAATAAAATCGTTTATCTGTATTATTCTGAAATATATGTTTTCATTTTGCAAACTGAAAAATAACCCAGATGATGCATCCTCTATTATATCCTGCAACATGGAACTTTTGACTTGGCAAGAGGCAATGGAAAGTTGTAAAAGTAAAGGTGGTTATATGCTTCCATTTGAAACTGGTTTAGGACCAAATATAGACAAAGTCCATATACTGAGTGATGCAGACATATGGACAGCGGATCAATTAACACTGAACGGTAAGTGTTCCAGTAACAATATGTTATTGTTATTGTATGTTGTACTTTTTCGTCAAAACTTTTTTGAAAGTGATTTTGCAATTCGATAAGTCAATCGAAGAATAATCTCTGTCATTTCTTCTTTAGTTCCGGTTCAACATTTAGTAAGTTAACAATTTTGAACATAGTCATTTTTGTGTACTTTATAACAGCTGTTTTATATGACTTTTAAAATTGACTTTTAATTTAATTTTCTTTTGATAATTTAGGTTAAACATTCTGTATTGAAAGCATAAATATCTTACCAAACATACTAAAAATCAGTTTGTTATGTTGCTAATTCAAGGTCATTTTGACTTTGTCTGTTATTTTTATAATCATTGTTTAAATAGAATGTGGATGAATAAGTTACAGGTTACTCAAAATTAGCTAATGAGGTTTGTCTTGAAATTGGACTAAATATTTCATATTGGCCATGAACAATTTAAATCTTGAAATTGGTTCTCTTTGTCCAACCAAAATGATCACAAATTTTCCTGACTCAAGTTTGAAAACAAATTGTAGCAGGTACAGTCTGATTATATTGGGGAGAATTTACTTTCCACCAAGGATATTCAGGATTTTGTAAACAGAAGTCAAAAGCTTTGACTTATGTTGGTTGTAAACTAGTATAATGAGTTGCCATCTTCAAAATCCCGGCGCTTCACAGCTCTATTAAGATTGTTATTTAGGACTACATTTAAAGTCAAGTTTTATAATCTTTATCAAGTTTTCGGTATCATGAGAATATTTTGATTTCATTCTACTGTTCTTAAATTGTTTTTGCTCTAAAATGTCAGTCAGAAAATATCATTTTCATTAGTTTTAGTTATGAACCTGTGAAAGTATTGTTATTTGCATATTTTTTCTCGATCTTGTCATTAATGTATATGCTCGTCTATATAGATCTGTGAATTCAATATTTTGTTCTTAGCCTGGTATTTTTTTATATCTATGATGTACTTTGATACCAAAAAATATCTACCGATATAAGTTTAGCCTCGTTTATATTTCTCCGAGTACAATTTATTCATATCAAATCACTATTGTACCGTGCAAGGCTTCATGTTCATTTTTGTTGTCAAAAATCCACATGAAACACTTACAATGCTAGAAGTAACAAAGTGTTGTAAAATAAACAGGTCATTATATGGATGTCAAACTTATGTTTATCATGTTATCTAAATATGAACACTCAAGACATGACATTGATTTTTATTCTCGTAAGTAATTTTATATGTTATTTTTTTTCAGGAAATGACGAATATTGTGGATTTCACTACCTCAATAGTACATTATACGAAAACTCAGAAGTGCTTTATGGAGATTGTTACGCTAACAGAAACTACTTTTGCAAAAGTGAAACAGGTACAAGTTATATTTCAAAAAATTG